GAAGGGGTGATGTGGTTATCAGGGGTCGAGGCGCATAGAGTTCGAGCAGATATGCGGACCCGAGCGAAGTCATGCGACCAGCGCGCAGCCTTCCAGGGCGGCAAGCTAGATGGCCTGATACTCATCGCTGGCAATCGCACTGTGCAGGGTTTCACGGGCGCTGGCGAACCAGGGGAGCAAGAGCGTCGCACTCAATACAACGTGGACTTTAAAGCGCCACGCAGTTATGAAGCCACCATGGGGGCCATCCCCCCCCAGGACTGGGGCCGCGTCCAGGCTGGCAGCGGCGGGCTCACTCGCGGCGGCAACGAGCCTGTATTCGCCATCGGCAACTACTACTGCAGCATCGAGGAATACAGCGCCACGGCCAGCTCCAAATGCACCCTGGCCTCCTCTGGCATGTTTCACGACGCAGTCAAGGTTGGGGTTGGATTATGCGTCGGTGACCCGCTCAAACTTACGTCGATGCCGCTAGAACCCGCAGCGGAGGGCACCCGCGACGCCGGCAATTTAGATGCCGAATGCCTCGGCGACAGCGGCAAGGCACGCGGCTGCCAGCAGAACGGGAGCAAGGCCAAGATCGCGATCGCGGCTTACCGCCGCGGCGCCGCGCGCTGGCTGGCGAGAAATCCGAGCTTGGTGGGCAAGATGCTGCCTGAACTCAGGCACCTCGAAGGCATGTTCTCAGCAGGTGGGGGCAACGTTGCAAGGAGGAAAGGAAGACTTCGAGCGATCAATCGCGCTTGGGGCCAGCTCAGTGGATTTTGGCATCCCCAGGCAGGCTGGCACCCGAATCGCTGACTGTTCGGAGGATGCGCTCGCAGTGCGGCCACGTCTGGGGGCGAGAGCTACACGCGCAGCAAGGCGAACTTCCAGGCGCGCGACACCAGTCTCATCGGCAAGCTACGGCCCTCGCTACAGAGCGGTGCTCGCGCTGAGGTCCACGGCACCCACCGATCATGGCCGTCATTGAACGTTTGGCGCCGCTGGAAGCTCACGCCCGTCGCGCCGGAGCTTGCCCTGCGCGGGCCATGCTGGCGGCGCGACGTGCGCGCCAAAATCTCGCAGCACATCCACTTCCTCGTGGGCTTCTTCGGCGATCTGGCCATCGAGGGCGCGGCGGGCGCGGAGGTCCCCATTCTGGGCGCCGACGGCGCGATCGACGCGAAGAAGGCGCCCATTCATCTTTGGGCAGTCCAACTCGCCAATGGCATCGACGCTCTCCTGTCCTTGGACCTGGCTGCCGAGCTTCGCGAGCATCTGGCACCGCGCAGTGCGTCTGCTACTTCAGGGCGATGAGATGCGCGACGTGTTCGCGGCCATCGACCCCCGCGCTGTGCGCGCGTGATTTTTTCACGTCGCCGGCATCCGCGGGGCGCGCTTCTCTGCGACGCAATGCCGCGCGAGGGCGAGGTGACGGGCGCAGTGTGGGCGAATGTGCACGCGTGAGTGATGGAGCTGCAGGTCGGATCGGAACGCGGGCGCTCCTTCGCCCAACTCGCTTCCCCCCGCTCGCGCCAGACCCGCGGCAAGGAGCCGGGCCATGTGATGCGAGGCATCCTCAGTCTGCTCGCGCCAGACAACAGGTGCCTCACTTGCGAGACGGTCTTCAGGAGCAGGGGCCACTGCTCCCACCACTTTCTACGCGGGCGGCCAGCCCGCCGTTTCGCGCGCCTGAGCGCAGCCCAGCTGTGGCAGCGCAGGCCTTCCGACTGCCTTCAGTGCCCGATCTGCAAAACGTGTTCCCTCTATCCCTCGGGCCCCACCATGGCCTCTGGAGTTCCCGCGAGAGCCTACCACCACGACACCAACGAGGTCATCTGCTATAGCCCGCTGATCATTGGCAGCAGCCCCGAGAACGAACACACCAGCATCATCATCAGCTTTGGCTTCAGTACAAGCAGCGACCACCTCGGCATCCTCGCAGGCCGTAGCATGCTCAACTACTGCTACGCTGCCCACCATATCATCCAGCAGCCAGCCCCAGCGAGTAAGCCTCAGAGCGACGTCGGCCCCACCAAGGACTCGGCTCATATCGCAAACGTCCCAAACAAGCGGCCTTTCGTCGTCGCTGCCTCCGTCGGCTCCGTTATCGCCTGGCTCGGTGGAGGCGCCGCGCCCATCTACGCGCTCATATACCTGTGCGCCGCGCCCTCGCCCGTGGACGGCACGAGGTTTACGGGAGGTCGCTGCTCGGCCTATGCAGGGCTCGAGCTCGACCGCGCTGCCAGCGAGGGCACCTGCGCCGCGTGCAGCGCCGCGACCGAGAGCCCAGGTCTTCTCCTCGACGGCCCAGGCGAGTGGCAGTGAGGTCGCGCTGGCGCCGGCAGGCTTCCTCAGCAGCGACTAGAGCTGGCGGCAGTCTCGGCGCACCAGGCAATCGGGGCGCTCCAGCAGCGGCGGCGGTGGAACCGAGGGCGACCAGGAGAGGCGGCAATCGCCGCAACAAGGGGGACCAGAAGGCGACGAAGGCGATCCAATTCAAGGACAGGGGCCTGCGCGAGCTACTCATGCTGATAATCAAGCAGGCGTTGAAGAACTCCCAGGCGGCGCGCATGCTCGACGGCGCGATGCTCGACGCCATCGTCTTCCCGCGGAACCGCAAGCTCGCGCAGGTCACGCAGGGGGAGCAGGGGGCCTCCGCCCTGAGAGTGGAGGCGTTCCGCGCGGGGAAGGCCGGCAGCCCGAACGCCGAGCCGCTCCGCACACCTCACACCCTCTTCTTCGCGGCGCTGGTCGAGGCCGCGGCCGCCATGGAGTCACGTGGCGGAGCGAACATGGGGAAGACCCAGGTGCCTCGCGAAGACATCAACGCATGTGAGAGGGAAGAGGACGCGGAGCAGCTGGCACGGGCCTGCAGGCTGGCGAAGACGGCGCAGGAGGACCAGGTCAAGATGACTGTCGCCGTCCAGACGTTCGGGGCGAAGGGGCACGCACTACTCGATGGACTTCGCCAAGCTGGAGGCCGCCACCTACGTGGATCCGCGCCAGCGGGCTACATGGAGGAGGAGCTGCAGGACCGGACGGAGTGGCTCGAAATGAACATACATAATGAGACGAATACGAAGCAGATGGGGGGGCAACCATCAGCGGCAGCACAGCTGCATCATTGCGGGCAGAGGGCTCTTGTGAGACTTATGAAGCTTCCCCCCATGAGCCCCGAGCCAGTTAAAACATCCCCATCATCATCATCATCATCATCATCATCATCATCATCATCATCATCATCATTATCCTCCCCCTCCTCCTCAGTGGAGACGATCTCCTCGTCCTCCTCCGCCTCCTCCTCCTCCGCCTCCTCCTCCTCCTCCTACTTCTCTTCCTTCTCCTCCTCCTACTCCTCCTGCTCCTCCTCCCCCTCCTCTTCCTCTTCCATGAAGATGATCTCCTCCTCGTCCTCCTCGCCCTCCTCGCTCCTCCTCCTCGTCCTCCTCCTCGTCATCCTCATTGCTCCTTCTCTGGGTCCCCCTCCTCCTCCTCCTCCTCCTCCTCGCTCCTCCTCCTCCTCCTTTTTCTCCTCCTCGTCCGTGAAGACGATCCGTGGCCCCTTTGGCTCAGGCCGCGTGCTGGCTCCGGCCTCTCCCGGAGGCCACGACGAGCGTCGTGCCAGCTGCCATCTCCACCCCCATGTTTGCCATCGGTCGGAAGTGTGCATATTTTCGGGGGCGGCTAAGGGGGGCGTGCTGACTGGGGGGGGGGGGACCTTGGCCAGGGCCATGATTGTTGTTCCTGGATTGCAGGCGTTTTTTCTTTCAATACGTCGCTTGGCCCCCCTGGGCCGCGCACGTGCCTCGGGCCATGATTCGCGCACCCCCCTTTTGGACGCCCCCCTCTTGGACGCGTCCGACTGTTTCTCGGCCAGTGCCATCGAGGAGCATCCTGGGCCGGCTTGCGACAAAACGCGCGCGCACGAGTTCGACCAGTGCGCGGGGAAGGCACGTCCGAGCGACGGCACGCGCCACGGGGCTCACGAAACAGACACCACCGCTGCCTCCCTCACCCCCGCCCGCTCCCCGGAGAAGGGGCGGGGAAGAGGAGGGCCGACGGTGGAAGAGGCATGACGGCGGTGGTGGTGGTGGTGGTGGTGGTGGCGGTGGCGGTGGTGGTGGTGGTGTATATTCGTGGGGCCCGCATCTGCTGTTTCTACTTGCTCCCTTTCCCCTTCGGTCGACCTTGCTCGACGGCGCGCGCGCGTCGACAGCGCCGCGCAGCCAGTGGTACAACCAAGAATACGGCATTGTTCCCCAGAGCACTGGTTTTCTTTTGTGCACGTCTGATAACCAGTCGGATCGAACACGCGCGTTATGCTCGAAGCTCTACGTGAGCGCCACGCACGAGGAGGTCTTCGGAATGACACTGATCCTCACTTGGGTTGTTGCCTACGTCGCCACTCCATACAGCTATTGTTTTGGTGCCTGTAACCCTTGTTTGAGTCAGGGTTCTTACCCAGCAAACACTATTGAACTGCCGTGTCGCTCTTTGAACGTATGCTTTGGTTGGCGGTTGGCTTTGTTGAAGCTGCTACGGAGTCGACTGCTCAGCGAACAAACGACTTTCGCAAAATTGTTCAATCAAAAGGTGTCGATTCGTTTCACATGGTCGTGCAGTTTGTGGATAAATCTTCGGGGCGTGGGGCCGAATATAGATGTTGTGGGGAACGATGATCCGCTTGGCCCACGCACGCTGGAACAGTTGGGTGTCCTGCGTTGTCGGCTTGGATGCCACTCTTGGCGACCCAGCTCGAAATAGCTGCGGGCCCTAGAGCCACCAGCATCCAGAGGAGACGCACGATTTCTCTTCGCGCAATTCTCGCCCGAGCCTGCTCTGCCGTTTTTCGCCTACGCTCGCAGCCTCCGCCTGCTCCGCAGCAGGGCAGAGGGCTTGGCCTGGGGCTCCATGTGGCCCACCGGGCTGCTGCCGACACGCTCTGCATGGGCTTCCCCGAAGACGGAAATACAGTCGGGGCCTTGAAGAAGGAACCCTTTTCGTTGGGGAGGGGCTCCGCGTTCCTTCAGTGTTTCACAGCTTGCCTCAGGTTGTCCTTAGGTATTCGATGGGAAATCGAACTTTAACTGATGGGAAAAAAAGGGACCTCGCTCCTTATTTAGGGTTCCTTAGGTCAAGGCCCCGACTGTACTTCTCAGGAGGCGCGAGGGTTGCTCAGAGGTCCCTCCGCCTTCCGAGAAGGCCTTCTCCTGTTCACTTCCCCCCTCCGCTCGCCGCCAACTTCTGGAGGAGGAGGAGGAGGAGGAGGAGGAGGAGGGAGGAGGGAGGAGGAGGAGGAGGAGGAGGAGGAGGAGGAGGGAGGAGGATGAGGAGGAGGAGGAGGAGGAGGAGGAGGAGGAGGAGGAGGGGAGGAGGAGGAGGAGGAGAGGAGGAGGAGGAGGAGGAGGGAGAGGAGGAGGAGCAGGAGGAGGAGGAGGAGGAGGAGGAGGAGGAGGAGGAGGAGGAGCAGGAGAGGAGGAGGGGAGGAGGAGGAGGCGGAGGAGGAGGAGGGAGCAGGAGGAGGGAGGAGGAGGAGGAGCCGTGGCTCGGCGCTCCTGCGGCCGCTCGGGGATCTCTCGGCCACCTGGGCATCCCCCGGGGAAAAAGCTCCCGGCGAGGCGCAGCCGCTGGAAGGCGTCCAGCTCCTCCTCCTCCTTCCTCCCTCCTCCTCCTCCTCCTCCTCCTCCTCCTCCTCCTCCCTCCTCCCCCTCCTCCTCCCTCCTCCTCTCCTCTCCTCCTCCCTCCTCCTCCTCCTCCTCCTCCTCCACCTCCTCCTCCTCCTCCTCCTCCTCCTCCTCCTCCTCCTCCTCCTCCTCCTCCTCCTCTCCTCCTCCTCCTCCCTCCTGCTCCTCCTCCTTCCTCCTCCTCCTCCTCCTCCTTCCTCCTCCTCCTCCTCCTCCTCCTCCTCCTCCTCCTTCTCCTCCTTTCAGGAGGAAAAGAAACACACAGTCACAATTCATCGTCCACTCCCAGGAAGATATGGGAAAATATGGGAAGTGGGGGGAAGACAGAAGCCCAGAGAATATAGGACAAAATATGGGGAATGTGTTTCTTTGTGTGTATTTCTTTGTGTGTCCTGGGGGCCCTTCAGGCTTGCAGGCTGCCGAGAGAAGAGAACGCACTCGAGCCTCACGCCTCTGTCCGCGCTGCTCGGCGCGGGCAGGACGACGCCGCCGATGACGGCGGCGGCGGCGAGGACGTCGTCGAACTTCGTCGTCGAAGTTCGTTGGCCGTCGTCCGTCGTCGCCGCCGTCGCCGTCGCCTCCCCGGGGGGCGGGGGCCCCGCCCGCCCGCGCGGCCCCCCCCGCGCGCGGGGGCGGGGCAGGAGCAGCGGGCGTGGTTCCTGCAGTTCGCCACCGGGACCTCCCGCGTGCCCGTGGAGGCGGCCCCTCGAGCTCGCCAGGGGGGGGGAGCCGGGCCCCGAGGCTTCTCCCCCGCGCTCGGGCTCCCCGGAGCTCTCCACGGGCGCCGAGACCGTCGGGAATCGAGCAGGAGGAGGAGGAGGAGGAGGAGGAGGAGGAGGAGGAGGAGGAGGAGGAGGAGGAGGAGGAGGGAGGAGGAGGAGGAGGAGGAGGAGGAGGAGGAGGAGGAGGAGGAGGAGCAGGAGCAGGAGGAGGGAGGAGGAGGGAAAGCTCGTCCTGGGAGAGGGCGCCGGGGTCCAGGACCCGTCTGCCTCAGGGCCCGTCTCCCGCGTGCAAGTCGAGCGCGCGCGCGCGCGAGGGAGCCTCCGAGGGGTCGAGGGCCGAGGGTCCCGTGTTCTTGACAAGTTTTCGGGAGGGTCCTCCTCCGCCTCCTCCTCGTCATGCCCCTCTTGTCCTGCGCCCTCCCTCCTCCTGCGCCTTCCGCTTCCTCCTCTTCTTCCTCCTTCTTCTCCTGCTCCTCCTCTTCCTCTCCTCCTCGTCCTCCTCCTCCTGCGCCCTCCTCCTTTTCCTCTTGGCCGGCGTTCTTGAGCGTTTGGGGGCCCGTGTTTGGCCTCAGGGTTCAAGACGCGGCCCTCGCCCGGCGGCGTCGTTGATGTATCCTGGGTTCACTCCAGCCCCTCGTCCTGCCCACGTATTCTCCCGCCAGCCTCCACAGGCTCCCAGCACTCTAAGTGTTGCTGTTTCGGCCCCATCCTCTCCTCAGCTCTCCCTTCCTCTCATGGTCGTCCTGACCCCCCTCTCCTTCTCCCCATCTCCTCCTGCTCATCTGCTTCCTTCGCCTGTTCCTCGTGATTCTCCTCCGCGCACGCGGGATGAAGGGAGATGAGGAAAGGACAGGAGGAGGATAAGGCGGAGGGGAAGCAGGAGAAGGAAGAGGGGAGGAGTTGAAAGGGGGAAGGGGAGGATGACATACAAGGTGCGCTCGCACCACATCTTCCATCTTATCCGACCCTTGCGCTGATTGTTCCCTTGCGCTCGCGCCCCGTCCCTTCCCACTGCGCCGATTGTTTCTCTATCCGCGGACGCGTGCCAAAGTCGACCTGGAATTCCAACAAAACGACACCATCGTGTTATGCACACTCGGGAAAGAGGAGTTGCGTACGTATGAGGAGGAGGAGGAGGAGGAGGAGAAGGAGGAGGAGGTGGCGTGTGAGCAGTGTGAAAAGGAGGATGACCCAGAGGAAAAGGCGGAGGATGTAGAAGGAGGCGGACGAGGACTAACAGCAGCAGTAGGAATTGCAGTGGAAACATCGGGAGGAGCAGGAGGACCAGGGGAAGGCAACGGAGGGGAAGTGAGGGAGGGGACAACGATCAAAAATGACTCGGACGCAGAACAGTGGCCCACGCTGGGGCGAGCGCTCCACTCCGAACGACGGGAGCAAAGCACGGATCCGAAAATGTGGTCCACGCTTGTCGAATTCTGTGTGTAAAGATCCATACGCGGAGAGAACTGGCGTTCTTCCAGACGTCAGAGGAGAGAGGATGGTAGCATTCCGAATGTGCAGCTGTGCAGGAATGGGACCAGAGTAATCCCAGGATTAATCTACGATCTGCGTCACTCCAACATACTTATGCTATATGTGGGTCGCCCCCCCAGGGGCGACGCGAGCACCGAGAAATCTTAAAGTATATGCGTCGTGGCGGGCGGTTTCTGGCCACAGCGCTCGGGAAACGATGTACTACAAGATGGGTAAACTGTATGTTCGGGTCGGACGCGCGCCTCCGAGGAGGACATGCAGTCTTAGTATGTCCCTGTGCCTCCCATACGATGCTGCAATACAGTGGGGGCGCGCAACAAGAAACCATCTGTTTTCCGTCAAGGTACCCTGGGTTCCTTTGCTCCGCGCGCTGCGCGGTGCCTTCCCACAACCGTTGCAGAAGCTGCCGCGTTCAGGATGCTCAGGTCTTCACGGTTGTGTTTCCTGCGAAGGCTTCCTCCGAAGGTTTCTTGCGGCCGCGCCCGCGCCGTACAGCCTCCCGTCTCAGGTCCGCCCAAAACAACAATGGATGATCTCAAACCTGTGATGTATGTGACAGCTTGCTTTGCAGGCGCTCTGTGGTGCGCTTTCGCCGGCCTCGCCGGCTCGTCAGACGGCCTGGACAACAATAGTTATGGCACGGCCCTGCTCTTGCCAGCAAGCGCGCGCAGGAGCGAAGAGGGGATGGGAACGGAAGCTACTCCAGATTCCTTAATAAAGTCGGGGGGGTGACATTTGGGGGGGGTCTGATTTGAGCTGTCTTGGAGGGTTCGGGGGGGTCTGGGCAAAGGGCCGCCCTTTCATGGATGGTCTGGGGGGGTCTAAGACTTCTCGTCTGGGAGGGTTGTGACCCCCTCCCTTTTGTTACGAAATCGGGAGTACCTTCTGACTGCGCCGCCCCATTCCACGGAGCCGTTGTGGTCCCCGCAAGCCGTTCGCGTCCCACGCCGGGGAGCGCCCCCCCCCCTTGAGTGACGATGGGGTCCGGTGGGCCTGCTTCTCGGGCGAGCGTGCCCGCCTTCTGTGAACGAGGTGCTCTCCTTCGCTGCGCCTTCGGCAGGCCCATCGGTCGTTGGGCCAGGGCTCCCTCGAGGGCGCGGAGTGGTTCGCGCTTCGCGGTTCGCGCTTCGGCACCTCCTCGTCTTCCTCCTCTCCCCTGGGGAGGCGGCGCGAGAGCGCGAGGGTGATTTGCATTTCGGCGCTTCGCGCAGCGCGAAGCGCGAAGTCGGGAGCCCTTGTTGAAAGTATGTATTTTTTGATTCCCCGGTTCCAATCTACTTCCAGCGCCGCCCTACTTCAATGATCGAGCGGCTTCACCGTTTCCGTCCTCTTTGGGGGGCGCAGGGAAGCCCAGTCTGCTGTCAACGCCCTCCTGCTTCATGATTCTACCTACAGTCGGGGCCCTGAAGAAGGAACCCTTTTCGTTGGGGAGGGGCTCCGCTTTCCTTCAGTGTTTCACAGCTTGCCTCAGGCTTTCCTTACGTTTTCGATCGGACATCGAAGTTTAACTCATGGGAAAAAGGGGGCCTCGTTCCGTATTTAGGGCTCCTCAGGTCAACGCCCCGACTGTATTTCTCAGGAGGCGCGAGGGTTTCTCAGAGGTCCCTCCGCCTGCTGAGAAGGCCTCCTCCTTTTCACCTCCCCCCTTTGCTCGCCGCCCAATTCTGGAGGAGGAGGAGGAGGGAGGAGGGAGGAGGGATGAGGAGGAGGAGGAGGAGGAGGAGGAGGCAGGAGGGAGGAGGAGGAGGAGGAGGAGGAGGAGGGAGGAGGGAGGAGGGAGGAGGGAGGAGGGAGGAGGGAGGAGGAGGAGGAGGAGGAGGAGGGAGGAGGAGGAGGAGGAGGAGGAGGAGGAGGAGGAGGAGGAGGAGGACTGTCAACGCCTTCCTGCTTCAAGAATTCTTTACGCTTCGCGTATCCCCACCAGCCCATCTCAAAACAGCAACTCTTGCGAAGCATGCCGACAGTCGTGTTTTTCAGGCGTGTTTCCGCCTGCCCCCGCATATCTCCCCTGTTCCTCCTTCCTCCCGCCTCCTTGTACATCCTCCTTGTGGTGGGAGCGGGAGAAGGACGAGGCGGAGGAGGAGGGAGAGAAAGCGCTCCTCGTGGTTTGAGTCGTTTGGGGTTTCTTGTCCTGGTGTGAGTCGTTCGGGCCCTTCTTCCTGGTGTGAATCGTTCGGGCTCTTCGTGATGTGAGTCGTTCGGGCTCTTCGTCCTGGTGTGAGTCGTTCGGGCTTCTCGTGGTGTGAGTTGTTCGGGCCCCTCGTCGTCGTGTGAGTCGTTCGGGCCCCTCCTCCTGGTGTGACTCGTTCGGGCTCCTCGTGGTGTGAGTCGTTCGGGGCCCTCGTCGTGGTGTGAGTCGTTTTGGGAGCCTCTTGGAGGCCTTTTGGGGCGTCTTCGGGGCCTCTTGGCGGCCCCAGGGGCTTCTAGGAGCGTCTTGGGTGCCTTGGGAGAGCCTCTTCGGGCCTCTAGGGAGCCTCTTGGATGCCGTTTGGGGCGTCTTGGTGGCCTCTGGGCGGCTCCAGGGGCTTCCAGGAGCGTCGTGGGTGCCTCGGGGGAGCCTCTTGGGGGCATCTTGGGGGCCTCTTGGAGGCCTCTTGGATGCCTCTTGGAGGCCTCTTGGAGGGGTCTGGGAGGAATCTTGGGGCCATCTGTCGGGCGATCGATCACAGATGGGGGGAGCACTTTTCTCCCTCCCCCCGTCGGGGCCAGAATCCTCGTGAGGGGTGTCGTTTTTTAGCCCTCCGAGGAGTCGAAAAAGACCCCTCTGGCGACCCGCGGAGGGACCTCTCCAGGCCCAGGGGGAGGGGGTAGGGGGAGGGGTAAACCCCTCCCCGAAGGGGAAGAAGGGGGGTTGAGAACAGAGCGGGCTCTCTAAACCACTCACGCCGAAAGGGCTGGTGGGATTCCGCCTACCTCTTCCGACCGAGGGGTACGCGCAGTCCAGCGATGTCCCCCCTTGCGGCCGCCGGGCCCCGAAAGTCGTGGGTGATCCCCGGGCATCCCGCCGCGCCCGCCCGCGGCCGCCGGGCCCCGATAGTCTCGGGGGCGGAAAAGAGGGGGGTGATGACTAGGGGAGGGTGGATATCATGGCGCGGGCCATGATATCTCCCCAGATTTCGTGGCGCCTCTTCTTGTTTCATTACGTCCCAGGCCCCCCCGCTGGGCCGCGCACATGCCGCCGGTCATGATTTGCACCCCCCCCTCTTGGACACCCCCCTCTTGGCCGCTCCCGATTCCTGCACCTCGCGGCCGCCAGGCGCGAGAGGTCCTCGAGGGCCCAGCGACGACAGGACGAGCAAGCATGCAGAACAGGCGTAGCTAACAGACACCGTCCACCGACAGTTAGAACAGACTATATATATGTATATATATATGTACACACATATAAATATGTATTTATATATACGTATATGGATATACACAACGTGCATGACCCTGCACAAATCGATGCAACTGCACTCACGCTCATCGACCCTCATGTTACACCTAGAACACCCATTGACAGCACCCGCCATTAGCACACAATACATCACGAGCAGACGTGGAGACTATACATCAACCAGCCATACCAAACATGGACGTCAAGGACAGGCAACAATTTTGTGAGTCTGGATATGCTGGGCTGGCTTGCTGGCGGCAGCTCGTGAGTGGCGCTGAGGCGAGATCCGCATTGTGGAAACCAGCATGCCATCCAATTCTCTGACTCATTTACAGGTGGATTCGAGCAGGGCTATTGCGAGAGCTGCATTCGTGAAAACGATCCGCCTTCATCTCTGCATTGGCTGGCTTGTTTCAATTGCGACTTCAGGGTTTGGAGATGCCAGGAGAACTCCTGCGAAGTGCTTGGCCTAGCCCGCGGACATGTTTCTTGGTGCGACAGAGGGTCGGGTTGTTCGGACGGAAGGGATTGAGGAGGATGAACAGGAGGGGGAGGGAGGAGGACAATAGAGATGATAAGCATTTAGGATGATTGGCGAAGGAGGGACTGGGGAGTAGGGCGACGATGAGGAGTGGGATGGCGGGGAGAAGGAGAGAGGCGAGGGAAGGGGGAGGATGTGGAGAAGGGGGGGGACAAAGACGAGAAGGAGGAGGAGGAGGAGGAAAAGGACGAGAAGGAGGACTTGGCGCACGCGGGGCGTCATCTCGAACATTCTCAGTCTGCCCCTGCACTCTCGAGGTCTCTTCCGAGGGGGGGAGTCCGCCTTCGCTACAGGACTTCTCTTTCGACCGCGACACGCCAAGCATGCGCTACGAAGGGCGATGAGGGAGGCGGAAGGTGAGGAGGACCCATGCCTCGACAGACTAGAACATCACTACGGATGGTTTGTTATCATTCTCGGTGTCGGTGGCCCTTGCCGGTGCCCAGGACCGCCGAAAAAAACATTCGGGATGAAAGGTTGGTACCAGGGAAGGGGGGGACCAGATCTCGGGGGGGGGGTCAAGTTGCGAAATAAGAAAGACGCCGGGGGCCCCGGGAGCCCTGAGGATGAAGAGGAGGAAACGGAACATGGTGCTCTGGCGTAAGGAATGCGCGCCTCCACCTTCCTCGTCCCTCTTCCTCCTCCTCCTCCTCCTCCTCCTCCTGCTTCTCGTCCTCCCTCCTCGTCCTTCCTCGTCCCTCCTCGTCCTTCCTCGTCCCCCCTCCTCCTCCTCCTCCGCCTTCCTTCCTTCTTCTCCTCCTCCTCCTCCTCCTTTCCTTCTCCTCCTCCTCTCCTCCCTTATTGTCCCTCCTCCTCCTCCTCCTCCTTCTCGTCCATCTCTCTCCTCGTCCCTCCTCGTCCCTCCTCGTCCCTCCTCGTCCCTCCTCCCTCCTCGCCCCTCCTTCCTCGTCCCTGCTCCATCTTTCCTCCTCCTCCTCCTCCTTCTCCTCCTCCTCCTCCTCCTCCTCCTCCTCCTCCTCCTCCTCCTCCTTCTCTGGCCGCCCTCTCTTCTCTTCTCTCTCCTTTGGGCAGTGCACTCCTCCTCCTCCTCCTCCTCCTCCTCCTCCTCCTCCTCCTCCTCCCTCTCCTCATCCTTGCCTCCACCCTCATTCCCTCTCCCCTCGCCGTTCTTCCCCGTCCCCCTTGCTTCTCCTACTGGATAAGTTTCGCTCTCGTCATTTACCCTTCCCATTGCTTCCTCCTGCATGTCACGCTTGCCTTGGTCCTCCTCCTCCTCCTCCTCCTCCTCCTCCTCCTCCTCCTCCTCCTCCTCCTCCCTCCTCGCCTCCTCGTCCTCATGCTCATCATCACCATCATCACCATCATCACCATCACCATCACCACCACCACCATCAGCATCATCATCGTCATAATCATCACCATCATCATCACCATCACCATCACCACCATCATCATGAGCATCATCAGCAGCATCATCATCATCATCAGCGTCAGCATCAGCATCATCATCAGCATCATCATCATCGTCGTCATCAACATCATCATGAAAACCGTCATCGTTACCGTTGATATCCTCCTGCCGTGCCTACTTACTTCTTTCCTACCCCATCCTCTCTTCCTCCCTCCATCCTGTGCATTTCTTCTGCTTGCTTCGCCTTGATGTTCTGCTGCTCCTCCTCCTCCTCCTCCTTCTCCTCCGTCTCCTCCTCCCCCTCCTCCTCCAGGAGGAGGAGCAGAAGGTGTAGGAGGAGGTGTAGGAGGAGGTGTAGGAGGAGAAGGAGGAGGAGGAGGAGGAGGAGAGGAAGGAGGAGAGGGAGGAGGAGTAGCCCTCCTCTCCCTGCTTCCCATTCCTCCTGCATCCCCCCGAGGGCTTCAAGGGCCTGGTGGGCATGCGGGGCTCGCAGAAGTTCTCCATCCACCGGGCCTTTGGCGCGGACAGCTCGCGACGCTGCCGCGCTGAGGCAGAGGAGATGGAGGAGGCGGTACGTACCGCAGCAACAAGTGCCGTGACTGCCTCAAGCGCGCGAAGGAAGAAAGGAATAACGGACGTGTGGAGAGGGTGGAGAGGAGTAGACGGGGGGGGAGGACTGGGGCAGAGCAGACCTTCGAGAGGGGCAGTGTGGGGAAGAGCGAGCGGGAGGTCGAGGGCGCGGATATCCCTGATACGCAGGGGGAAGTGGCAGGATGAGGACGAGGGGGGAGGGAGAGGGAGGGAGACGAGAGGTGGAGGGGTCGGACGGAGCTAGGACGATGATACATCCCTTCCAGAGCGTTCTGGAGCATGCTCAGAGCGTTCCGGAACGCTCTGAGAAGGCCGCGGCGCCCGAGACATCCTCCAGTGTCGCCGGACTTCAGAGATGCCCCATTTATCCTCACCCGATTATATCTTCGTCCTGGCCTCCTCCGGATACTCCAGGTGCCCAGACTGACGGGGACGCCGACCCCAAGACGACAGCAGCGCAGCGCGCGCGGGGCGGAGGAGGGATGGTCTCCTGCGCGGCGCGCGCCCAGCGCGCGCGGCGGCAGCCCGGCCTGCGGAGCAGCAGCACCGCCTCCGCCTGCCCCAGGAGGCAGCGCAGCGACGCGAAGCCGCCTGGCTGGCCCTCCTCCTCCTCCTCCTCCTCCTCCTCCTCCTCCTCCCTCCTCCTCCTGCTCCTCCTCCTCCTCCTCCTCTCCTCCTCCTCCTCCTCCTCCTCCTCCTCCTCCTCCTCCTCCTCCTCCTCCTCCCCCTCTTCCTCCTCCTCCTCCTGCTCCCCCGTACACGCCAGTCGCTGAAGTCTGGGCCTCCGAGGTGGGGTCGGGGTAGATTGGGGTCGGGGGGTCGCGCTGTTTCGGCGATGCATCGGCGATGCATCGGCGATGCGGCTCGATGTGGAGCCCGAAAAGCTCCACGCTGATGACGCCGATGCCTCGCCGACGTCGCCAGTGCATCGCCGTTGCATCACCGATGTGTCGCCGATGCATCGCCGTTGCGGCGCGGTCCTCCGACCCCATCTACTCGGACCCCATGCAGGAGGCCTCTATGAAAGCATGTGCTTTTGGATTTCCAGACCACAATCTACTTTAAGCGCCATCTCACTTCATCAAGTCGGTATGCTTTGGCTGTGTTTTGCTGATCTCTGGGAGGGCCTGAACCCAGTTCGCTTGTGCCGCCTTCCCACTGCATGTGTTCACCTACCTACTTCTTCCGACCGACTTTTTGTGCAGCCGCACGAGCGCCCGGAAGTGCGGGCACGAGCACCCTGCCAATGTCGGCCGACGGGCTGGCCCACACAGGACGAGAGACACGCCAGCAAGTCGCTCTGGCCGGCCGCGGGGAGGAGAGGATGGAGATCTTCTTGCCCCAAAACTGCTCAGGGATTTTTTTCCATGAAAAGATGGAGGGCGGGAGGGGAAAGGGTGGAAGGTAAGGAAGAACCAGGGATGTGGACAGAGGTGGATGGAAGGAAGAAAGTGAGGGACGGTATGGCGGGGAGGGATGTGTGATGAAAAGACGAGGCAAGAGCGAGGAGGGAGGAATGTCAGAAATTCAGAGACATCACTGATGAGTTGAGGTAGGAGGACCGGATGAAGCGAGGTCAGGAGCGAGAGAAGCAGCCGAAAGCAGGGTGGAGGGGAAGTGAACCACTCCTCGAACTTCTTGTTGTTCCAGGAGTGGGGCCTTGGAGCCCTTGGCCCCTTTATCGGGGCGTGTCTTGTCTCGGACAGTTGTTGTTGCTGACCTCAGATCCCAGAAAGGGCACGCCCTGCGGACGCAGACAAGTTGCGAACAAGCCGTGTTCACGTTGTTTAAGCCGTTGGAGGTCTGAAGAGGGTGGGGTGAGATGAAGCAATAAAACACTGGCAGGAGCGTGTCTCTTTATTGCTTGGGCCATAATGGGCATTATGGCCCCCGGCCCCCCCTCCCCCCTATAACGTAACGCCCTTCTTCCCCCAGTGCGCTCGGGGCATTGCCTGCGTGCGCACGGCGGGGGGGAGGCGTAGCATGATACCCACTGCCTGGCCCCTTCCCCCCCCTATAGTGCCCATGATCGCCGAAGATAAAGAAACGCGCTCCAGGATCGTTTCCCCTCGGCGCAGACAAGTTGCGAACAAGGCGCACTGCCGTTGTTCAAGCCGCTGGAGGTCTGAAGAGGGTGGGGTGAGATGAAGCAAAGAAAGAAGCACTGGCAGGATCGCCTCCCCTCGGCGCACACCTGCTTCAACCAGCTCGACCTGCCCGAGTACCCGTCCGAGGAGGCCCGGCCGCCCAGCCGAGCCGCGCCGCCGCCAGCAGCGCTGGCTCGCCAGGGCTGGGGCGACCGCGGGCGGGGAGGGAGGGAGGGGAGGGAGGGGAGAGAGGGAGGGAGGGTATGGAGGGAGGGAGGGAGAAGGAGGAGGAGGAGGAGGAGGTGGAGGAGGAGGAGGAGGAGGAGGAGGAGGAGGAGGAGAGGAGGAGGAGGAGGAGGAGAGGAGGCGGAGGAGGCGGAGGAGGCGGGGAGGAGGAGGAGGAGGAGGAGAGGAGGAAGAGGAGAGTAGGAGTAGGAGGAGGAGGAGAGGAGGAGGAGGAGGAGGAGGAGGAGGAGGAGGAGAGGAGGCGGAGGAGCGGAGGAGGAAGAGAGGAGGAGGAGGAAGAGGAGGAGAAGGAGGGGCGGCAGCGTTTGGGAAACAGCACTGGCGCCAGGAAAACATGAGGAGGAGGAGGAGGAAGAAGAGGAGGGCAGGAGGGCGGGAGGGAGGCAGGGAGGGAGGGAGGGTCGTCGTCGAACGGTGGCACAAGCAGGAAGGGAGGGGAAGCCTCGTCTCCAGACCTCTGACATCTTGAAAAGTACTAGGACGGAAGGCTTGCCTCTTGGAGCCGCTTCTGGGACCTAGGGAAAATATGATTGATCCAGGGCTGGAAACGACATTTCGCGAAAGGAACCCAGTATCGCACAAAGCCGCCACATCACAAGACTGGGTGCCTCCCATCCCTCGCTCATTCGCTCCCCTGGAGTGCACAGGATCCCCCTTGTCGTCGTGACCTCTTCTTCCTCTTCCCCCCCCCGTGGGAGACGGGGACCTCTGGAGACCCCTGGGGACCCCAATCTGTTCGAGACGGCCGGTTTCTGCTCCGTCTGGGCTGGGCTCGCCGACTCGGCGGCCATCAGAAACGCTACCCGTGAGGAAGAAAACCGGTCTCTGGAAAGTTTCCAGGCGTTCCGGGCGCCAATGGAAGAGGTGGGGAGGGCAATGGGGGCTGGGGAGGGTGAGGAGGACGGGAGGAGTGAGCACAAGGGAGGGGTTGACGTTGACGGCGCGGTTGACAGGGGGGAAGGGAGGAGGAGGAGGAGGAGGAGGAGGAGGAGGAGGAGGTGGAGGAGGAGGAGGAGGAGGATAAGGGGGAGGAGGAGGAGGAGGTGAAGTGGGAAGCGGTGAAGTGGGAAGCGGTGAGTCAGAGTGGAATGCCCCCCCTGCTCCCTCTCTTGCTCCCCCTCCTCCCCCGTCGCCTCCTTCTCCTTCTGCCGGCTTTCTCGCTCTACGCACCCCCCGCCACTTTCTCATGCTGAATCTCATGTTCTCGATGATTGCTTTCTTCCTGCTCCTCCAACTGACCCCCGCGCGGGGTGTGGGGATGTTCTGTCGCGCGGGCCTCCTCCCACCCGGTCAGCCTCGCTGGAAGCATCCGTTCCTGAGGATGCGAACGCCGCCCTATGGGCCACCCCATCCAGCCAGCCTGCTGCCACTGCTAGTATTCCTCATCCGTCCCATCCTCATCCGCGTCCTTTCTCTTCTCCTCCTGCCACTCGCACGCTCACATCTTTTCTTCGTCCGTCTCCTCCTCCCCGCTCCCTCCCGCTGGCAAGACCAGACATGCCCCAATCAGGCCATGCCTACGGTCCTCCTCACTTGCTTGTGAGAGTGGGTTTCGGGGACGTTCGTGAGTCGCCTTGCCCCGGGTTCCTCGTGGGTGCCCGAGGTGGCCCAAGTGTTACGTGGGGATGCCCGCGCCAAGCAATGCCAAGCAACGCCAAGCAACACCAAGCAATGCAACGCAAACTAGTGCCACGCAATGCCAAGCAATGCCGAACAATACAAGTCAAGGAAAAACACTGCACCGCCAAGCAACGACCCCGAGCAATACCAAGCAATGCGAGCCAACGCAACTCAATACAATTCCAAGGCGAGACATTGCACGCAATACCAAGCAACGATTCACAGTAATACCAAGCAATGCCACATGACACTTGCCAGTGCAAAGCAACGTCAAGCATGCCAAGCAGTGCTAAGACCTCTGATTGGGATCGCGCCGTCTTCATCTTACTACTCTGACGCAGACGTTACACAGCAGCCGTTGGGGCGACCCAGAGCAACACGTGCTGAGCACCAGATGGGTGGACACCATCAGTCCAAGGCGTGATTCTCGCCTAATGATGTGTCAAGCTCGAACACGAATGTTTGCGCATGGCAAGCGCCAGAACACGCGCTGAGGCAAGGAGGAACAAAACAAACTCAAATCGTGAAATTCTGCACACAGATCACGAGAAATACACTGCTCGTGTGCAAACCCACAGTTCGCACATCGAACCATCTTGCAGTTGGAGTCCCTTTGCATATGGTTACCGTGCACTCCCGGCACTGGGAGCGTAAGGAGAGCTTGTCGACCTCGCTTGGAGTGGGTGGAGCAGGTAACTGGAGAACGTTGAAAAACCATGCAGAGCATGTTCCCTGCCGTTCCCCGCCTTTGCAGCAGTCGCCAACATTCAGGAAGCTACACGGTTGGCGCCATCAGCACCGTGATCAGATAATCTTTATCCACCCCTCTCGCTGCCCCCGCTTCCCCCTTCCTTAATCCCCACCCCGCCCGCCTGCTGGCCGACCAGATCACATACCTCGCAGGGTCGACCATCCCCGCGCACATACCTTCGCCGCTGTTGCGTTGGGCGCGGAACCGTGGTGCTTTCGCAGCGCACCAGCCAATATTTTATGTGGTTTGCTGTCGTTGGTATGTTGTTGCTGCTGTTGTTGTGTTTGCTGTTGTTGTTGCTGCTGCTGCTGTTTTGTTGTTGTCGCTGCTGTTGCTGTTGCGGTTGTTGTTGTTGTTGCGGATATATGTTTTATTTTTGTTTTCTCTCTCTCTCTCTCTCCCTCTCTCTTTCAAACACACACACACACTTTCTCTCTGTGCGTTCGTGTACGTGTTTATGCGTACACACGGCTATAAGCGCCAGGTGCTCCGGGAGAAGCTGGTCCAGGCCCGAAGCACGCGAGATGGGCGCGGGGGGGGAGGGACGGGGCGGGGGGGCGATGGGGGGAGGGGGAGGGAGGGCAGGAGGATGTGGAGTGGGAGGGTGAGACAGAGGGAGGAGTATGAGGCGGAGGGAGGTAAGAGCAACGATGGATGAAGGAATTTTGACAGAGGAATGGGTGCAGAGGGAGGAGAAATCATGAGAAACGGGAGGGAAGAAGGAATGGAGGCATCAATGTTAGAAGGGAGGCAGGTTGTGAGGGAGGGGAAGAGAGGCAGGGAGGGGGAGAGGAGGAGGAGGAGGAAGAGGAGGAGGAAAAGGAGAAGGAGGAGGAGAAGGAGGAGGAGGGAGGAAGAGGGAGGAGGACACGGAGCTCCACCGAAGGCCCCAGCGGCAGGGGCCGCATGCGTCCCCGCGCCCGTTTTGACACCCCTCGCACGCCTCGTGGCCCCATGGGGAGCTCCACCAAAAGCAGCACCCACAACGCGGTACTCACAGCTGCATTGGGTTGGGCCCTCGCCAGGATAATTTCAATAGTTTTAGCACATTCGCCGTCTTCGTCTTCAGGGCGTCCGAAAAGGCAAGGTCGCGCAAACAACGTTCCAACAGCAGCCCAAGAGGGCCCGGTAGGGCCCCAAGGTGCCCCAGCATGGCTTGCATGCTATCGCAGCTTCACGGGAAAGCACGACACTAGTCCCGGCACGCCCCAGGAGGACCACGAGACGGCTCAAGCAAGAGACTTGTTCAAGTTCCCCGTGCATGTATTTGACATGTACATCCTTATGCCTCTTGCCTCTGTAGTTCCTCGTCCCTCCCGCAAGTGCCCTGCCAGTCGGCATCGTAGCGCGTGCAAGTTGTTTACAGCGAGTTTTCCCATCGCGCTCCGTTACCGATCATTCTGCCTCACGTGCTCAGCCAGCTGGCGTGAAAGCTCATGTCGTAAATCTCACGGCTGCGGTCCGTTCTGATAAACGTCACTGTTTCTCCATCTTCAGTCATGTTGCGTTGCCCTTGCATGTGCGACGCCAGTCCGTGTGATAGCGCATGCATGTCCTATCACTGCATACCTTCTTCTCCTCCCCGCTCTTGCTCGCCCTGTGCCACCCAACTTCACTCCTCCCCACTTCTCTGCACCCCTCAGCTCCACTCCACGCCACTCCACGCCACCCCACCCCACTCCACTTCACTCCACTCCACCCTACCCCACTCCACTCCGCTCCACTCCACTCCACCTCACTCCACTCCACATCTCCCCATTTCTCCCCATTCCCCCCCCATTCCCACGAGGAGGAACAGGAGTTGGTGGCGAAGGCGGAGGCAGAGGCGGAGGAGGAGAAGGAGGCGGAGGAGGAGGAGGCGGAGAAGGAGGAGGAGGAGGAGGAGGACGAGGAGGAGGAGGAAGAGGAGGCGGAGGAGGCGGAGGAGGAGGAGGCGCAGGAGGAGGAGGAGGACGAGGAGGCGGAGGAGGCGGAGCAGGCGGAGGAGGCGGAGGAGGAGGAGGAGAGCAGGAGGAGAGGAGGAGGAGGAGGAGGAGGAGGAGCAGGAGGAGGGCAAATGAGGAGGAGGAGGAGGAGGAGGAGGAGGAGGAAGAGGCGGAGGCAAGGCGGAGGAGGAGGCGAGGGAGGAGGAGCGGAGGAGGAGGAGGAGGCGGAGGAGGAGTTGGAGGAGGGGGAGGAGGGGGAGGAGGGGGTGGAGGGGGAGGGGAGGGGGAGGGAGGGGGAGGGGGAGTGGGAGGGGGAGGGGTAGGGGAGGGGGAGGAGGAGAGGGAGGAGGAGGAGGAGGAGGAGGAGGAGGAGGAGGAGGAGGAGGTGGAGGAGGAGGAAGAAGAAGAAGACGAATAATAATAATAATGCTAATAATGCTAATAATAATAATAATAGTAATAATAATAATAACAATAATAATAAGAAGAATAATAATAATAATATAAATAATAACAATAATAATAATAGTAATAATAATAATACTAATAATAATAAGAAGAAGAATAATATGAAGAATAATAAGAAGAAGAAGAACACTGATCATAATAAGAATAACAAGAAGAATAATAATAAGAAGAGGAAGAAGAAGAGGAGGAGGAGGAGGCGGAGGAGGAGGAGGAGGAGGAGCAGCAACAGCAGGAGGAGGAGGAGGAGGAGGAGGAGGAGGAGGATGGGAATGCCAGGGCTACGGGTAGGTGGGGAGGCACCCTGGCTCCCCTCACACTCCCTTGGGGGGGGGGCGGCGGGCTGCCCCGGCCGGCTGCGCGCCGCGCAGCGATTTCGGCCCCCCAGTTTCGCTTGGGCGCCCGCGAGGACCTCCAGGCGGAGCTGCAGGCCATTCTCCAGAAGGGCCGGCTCTCGTCGGGGGAGGCGGCCCACCTCCGGGGCGTTGCTGGGTGGTGTGACGCAGCCATCGCAGGGCGTCCGTATCGGGGGGCCATGGCCACTTTGGTTGCTCGCCAACACTACGAGCGCGAGCTCAGCGTGACGCCGAACCTGGGCCAGGCCATCCGCTACCTGCTGGCCGTCCTGGAGGCGATGCCAGATGTCGTCCCCGACATATTCCAGCGGCCCGACTCGCCGGTCGTCATCTACACGGACGCCAGCGCCGAGGGGTCCAGGGTCAGGATCGGGGGCATCATCTTCGAGGTGGGCAGGCTGCCAGCAGTCTTCGTGTACGACGTGTCGGAGCACATGCGGCCCTTGGTGGGCGAGGGCGGCACAGTGATCAACCAGGCGGAGCTGCTGGCGGCCCCGGTGCTGGTCTACTCGGCTCCCGCACCTTTGAAGGGCAAAGACATCATTTGGTTCCTGGACAACACGAGTGCGGAGACGGCGCTGGTCAAAGCGGGAAGCCCCATAGAGACAATGTGCTTCCTCGCGTTGGTCGCCAACGCCGCCTTGGGCGGCCTCGGCGCTGCTGTTTGGTACGATCACGTCGACACACGTGACAATCCAGCAGACGTTCTGTCGAGGGCGGGTCTCGAAGACCCGGCAGTGCTGTCGAATATGGAGCTCGGGGTGTGGGGCGAAGTGAAAGCTGTGGAGCCTGACGTGACCGCGCTCGATGTCCATAGGATTTTGCAGTGTCGGGCGTGACCGCCCCGACAGAAAGAGCGAGGAGACACGTGCACATTCCGGATGGCATGATGGAGGGGGGCGGTCACTGGGGGCGGTCACTTGGTTCAGACCACCCCCTTCTATGATGAATTTCGGAGTGCATGTCCAGATGCCCGCGGCGGCCCCGCCGGCCGTGCCGGCGCAGCAGCGCGGGGCAGCAAACCCAATGCAAAGAACAGCGAAACTAACGCACGGAGACGCAAGTCACGCGCACAGGCGACAATGTGAGCCGAACAGCAGGGCGCAATTTGAAACAACAAAATTGAAAGAAGAAACAAGTGCGACCTGCTGGCTGCGTTCCTCAAACAGTGCTCGCGGCTAGGGGGGAATTGCGTGTTCCACATGGAACGTTGCGCCCGGCGCGTGACGAGGTTCGACTGTTTGGAGGTCCGCGACGCAGGGCGACAACGCAACCGCGTAGCGTCGAGCCCGTCTGCCCTTCCAGGGGGGTCTTTTACTGGCGACTCCCATGAGCCGCGGCTGGGAAGCCAATGGCAAGGGGCCTTCTGCCCGCGGAAAAGTCTCGGAGATGCGGCCTTGGGGGGTCCTCGGCAGTGATCGGGCCGAAGTCGGCGTTGGGGAAATCTTTGGCCCTAGTCCCGCTACCCCTTCGCGGGCGACGTGCGGGGTTGGCAGGCGCTCCCGGGAAATCCCGGGGGAGTATCCAAAGTCTGCAGCTAGGCTCACTCACGCCGAGGTCCCCCCTTCATCCTGTCTCTTCGGGTCGGGTCGGGCCCCAGGGCCTCCTGGGAAGAGCCGGGCCCGCGAGGGCCGCGGTTCGGCCGGCTCCGAGCTCAGACCAGGTCGGCGGGGTGTCTGCGGGCGGAAGGATCCCTGCGAGATCTTCGAGCCGAGAGTCCCGGGTGTTCCACGCGGTTCCGCCTTCCTTTGATGGGTGTGAGGGGGATGGCGATGCTGATGATGACGAGGAGGAGGAGGAGGAGGTGGCGGAGGAGGACAAGGCGGAGGAGGAGGAGGAGGAGGAGGAGGAGGAAGATAAAGGAGGAGGAGGAGGAGGAGGGGGAGGTGGGAGGAGGACGGGTCGCCTAAGCCCTTCGGGGGAACCCTCCAGCCCCCCGCCCCATCGGGGATCGCCAGTTACCTGGACAGGCCCGTCTTGGGCCCGGGATCGGGCCGACGCCTCCATGGCCCAGGCCTGGAGGTCGATGCTTCCATGGCCAGCAGGATTTGTTGTGGCGCCCTCCTCCTTCCTCATTATCCTCCTGTTCCTCCTCCTCCGTTCCTTCTCCTTATGAGTAATTTCTCCCTGTCGCACCCCGAGGCCAGTTTTCAGGGCGGGCCGGGCGTTTCGCCTGAGACTTCCTCACCATCTATGGTTCTGAAGCTTAAAATGTGGCAGCAGTTTCACAGATGGAGGGCGGGCGGTTTTCAAAATGTGGCTCTCGCCTTAGCGTCGCGCACGCTAGATCAAAACAGTTGCTAGAGCTTCACGGATACAAGGCGGGCCGTTTTCAACATGTGGTTCTCGTCTTAACGCCGCGCACATTCGTTTTTTTTTTTTTTTTTCAAAACCAAAAACATTTGCAATAGCTTCACGGATTGAGGGCGGCTGGTTTTCAAACTTTGGCTGTCGCTTTAGCGCCGCGCGCATTCGTTGTAACACTGTGTAGGAGCTTCACGGATTGAGGGCGGGTGGATCTCAACATGTGACTCTCGCCTTAGCGCCGCGCACATCCGTGCAACAAATTAGCAACAGCTTCACGGATTGAGGGCGGTCACTTTTCAAAATCTGGCTCTCCCCTGAGCGCCACGCACATACATTTATAACATTTGAAGAGTTTCGCGGGTTTCCAAGATCAGCCTACCAGAAATTGCGTTTGGGAAGGATTCAGGATTATGCGGGTGCAGCAGTTATGTTGGTTCGCGGCGCTGAGGTCCCAGTAATTGCGTTCGGGCACGATTCAGGATCGTCAAGACGCAGCAGTCTGTCTGATCCGTGGCGTCGAAGTCCCGAGAACAATGTTTTTGCATGCGTCAGGGTCTTCACCGGTGTCTTCCAACGAGGCAATTCCCCCAATGGAACTGAATTGCTGTAGGGACATATGAAAAGTTAGCTTGCAGGGAGGGTAAATTCCAACATCGTTGATGACCCTTTGGTTTGCACTTGTCCTTCTCCTCCTCCTCCCCCTCCTCCTCCCGCTCCTCCTCCTCCTCCTCCTCCTCCTCCTCTCCTCCTCCTCCTCCTCCCGCCACTCCTCCTCTCCTCCTCATCCTCCTCCTCCTCCTCCTCCTCCTCCTCCTCCTTCTCCCTCATCCCTCCTCCCTCCTCCCTCCTCCCTCCTCCCTCCTCCCTCCTCCCAGGCCGTGAGCGAGGGCCACGAGGGCTTCGGCTTCGCCTGAGCTCCATCGATGCCGGGCGCTCGGGCGCGACCCGCGGGCCCCTGCTCTCGGGGGGCGCCCGGCTGTGCACCTGCACCGGCCCTGGGCCCTGCGCCGGACCTGGCCAGGCCGATGCCGGGCACGGGATATGTGCACAGGTTTATGTGTGGCCTGGCCAGGATGGAGGGGGGCAGGAGGAGGAGGGGATGAGAGAGGAAGGAGGGAGGGAGGAGAGGAGGGAGGAGAGGAGGAGGGAGGAGGAGGGAGCAGGGAGGAGGGAGGGAGGGTTGAGGAAGGAGGGCAGGAGGGAGGAGGGAGGAGGGAGGTGGAGGAGGAGGAGGGAGGAGGAGGAGGAGGAGGAGGAGGAGTGAGGAGGAAGAGGAGCAGGAAGAGGAGGGAGGGGGAGGAGGAGGAGGAGGGAGGTAGGGAGGAGGAGGAGGGAGGAGGGGAGGAGGCAGGAGGGAGAAGGGAGGGATAAAGGAGGGAGGATAAAGGGAGGAGAGAAAGAGGAGGAGGAGGAGGAGGAGGAGGAGGAGGAGGAGGAGGAGGAGAAGGAGGAAAAGGAGGAGAAGGAGGAGGAGGAGGAGGAGGAGGAGGAGGAGGAAAGGGAAGGATCAGGGAGAGGAGGGAGGAGGGAGGGAGGGAGGCAGCGGCGGACGATGGCCGAGTCGGGAAGACGTGCTCAACTCTGGAAAACTCTGTTGAGAGGAACCCCGGGACCTGTACAGAAAGTGAGGGCACAGGTCAAATCACAGAGTCAAACTTGAAAGAAAGCTGAACAGCCCATGGGGCCCAGAGGGAGGCAGGAGGGTGAAGGGAGGAGGGAGGAGGGAGGAGGGAGGGAAGGAGGGAGGGAAGGAGGGAGGCAGGGAGGAGGAGGAGGAGGAGGAGGAGGAGGAGGAGGAGGAGGAGGAGGAGAGGTGGAGGAGGGAGGTGGGAGGACGGGAGGAGGGAGGAGGAGGAGGGAATATGGAGGGAGGAGGAGGAGGGTGGGGGAGGGAGGAGGAGGAGGAGGAGGAGGAGGAGGAGGGGAGGAGGAGGAGGAGGAGGAGGAGGAGGAGGAGGAGGAGGAGGAGGAGGACGAGGTGCATGCACCGGCCCAGGGCGGCCCCGGACAGGAAGGGCGCGGGGGAGGTCTGCCCGCGCCGGGCCTCATCGCCCCCGCCCGCCCCCCCCCACGGGCTGCCCTGCGCGGCTCCCGCGCGGAGGCGCACGGGCGCGCGCGCGCGGGCGCGCGGGCGCGCGGGAGGGCAGGCCGGGCCCTGCGGCCAGCCCTCCGCCCGCGGCCTCCCCCGCCGATAGAGTCGGCGGCGCGCACGAAGCAGTGGCGGAGCGTCCTGGCTCGCCTATTATCGGGGGCGGAAAAGAGGGGGGTGATGACTAGGGGGGGGTGGATATCATGGCGCGGGCCATGATATTTCCGCAGATTTCACGGCGCCTGTTCTTATTTCATTGCGTCCCAGGCCCCCCCGCTTGGCCGCGCACATGCCGCCGGTCATGATTTGCACCCCCCCCTCTTGGACCCCCCCCTCTTGGCCGCTCCCGATATTAGGCCCACCAGAGACTGTTCCAGGGTCCGTTCGCGGTCTGCAAGGGATGCTCTCAGGACATTTCTGGCCGAGTCTGTCGTGTCTTCACCCGTCGGGTTGATGTTCTAAGAACATGGCTCTTGTTATCATGGCATTTTTGGGATCCAGCAACATGTCGTGGTAGGACTATAGGAATGCCGGGACGGTCGGTCCCTGCTCAAGCGTAGGAGTCTGGGCCTGGTAGATGGGGTCCGAGCAGATGGGGGCGGCGGATCGCGCCGCATCGCCGATGCTCGGTGTGGAGCCCGTGCTTCCCCACGCCGGCGTCGCCGATGCACCGCCGAGGTCGCCAACACGTGGCCGATACGTCGGCGATGCATTGGCCATGCGGCGCAATCGTTCGAGCCCATCTAACTCTTCGGACCCCACCTGGTGGTCGGCTGCCCACGCAGCCCGGCTTCCCTCCATGTCCGGGGGCAGTGGCCATGCGAAGTTGTCGAGGCATCCAGCCGCCGTGGTCGACGTGAGGAGGAACAAAAAAAAAACTCTTCGGACCCCACCTGGGAGGCCTCGAAAGAGCGACCCTTCGCCAAAGTGACCTCCGGTGCGAGCCCACAGGGGTACCCACAGAGCACTGGCCTGCGCGCGCACCTGCGCCCCCCAATTCAAGCCTCGCGCCAGAGGTCACTCCTCCTCCTCCTCCTCCTCCTCCTCCTCCTCCTCCTCCTCCTCCTCCTGAAGTCACTCTTGCGTGCAGCCGATGGACGCCGCGCCCAGCGGACTGGAGGGCGCGGGACGATCCGCGGGGGACCCCTGCGGTCGGCCCCCCGCCCCCGCCCCGATCGACGCCCCGCCGCGGCGGATCGGAGCGCGTGGGAGGAGCCGCGGGGGACCAGCGGCTCTCCGCGCGCGCGCGCTCGGCGCGCTCGGAGGCAGAAGTGCCGCGCGGTGGCGCTTCCAGAAGCAGACAAGGGAGCCACCGTGCGCATGCCAGGGGCATCCCTGCGGCGTGGGGCGGAGCAGGATCGGCATGACGAGGAGGGCAGGGCCAGGCGAGGGGAAGGATCCTGGGAGCAGGGGGACGCGGTAAGAGAGGGATGGGGAGGAGGGTGGGAGGGGCGGGGGAGGGAGAGGGGGACTGCCTTTTGGACTGCGGCGTGCACTCCGCCGCCCCTCGGGTCGATTCCACATCCCGGTCTGACAAGCCGGGAAGGCAGAGGGGAGAGGCGGAGATGAAACGACGCGAAGATCGGGACAAAATCGGATCGGGATAATTCGAAATCTCTGAGAATGAGCGGGTTTGGAGGATGTATTGGGCGCCGCGGCCGTTCCAGAGCGTTCCGGAACGCTCTGAGAGCGCTCCGGAACGCTCTGGAGCGATTTATCACGATCCTAGCCCTGTTTTAGGAGAAGGGATGGGGAGGGAGGGGGGCAAGAGGAGTCCAGAAAGAACAGGAAGAGGGGATGGCTGGAAGGAGAAGGGTAGGAGGGAGGGGGTAGGAGGGATGAGCAGGGACAGGAGAAGGGGGGGGCGGGGGGAGTGGAGGTAGGTAATTGAGAGAGAGAGAGAGAGAGAGAGAGAAAGAAAGAGAGAAAGAGAGAGAAAAAGAGAGAGAGAGAGAGCAAGAGGGAGAGAAAGAGAGAGAGAGATAACAAAACACACACACATAACAAAGAAGAAGAAAAGAGCGAGAGAGAGAGAGAGAGAGGGCGAGAGGCAAAGAGAGAGAGAGAGGGAAAGAGAGAGAGAGAGAGGGAGAGACAACCAAAAACATATACAGAGACATGCAGAGAGGCAGGCTGAGACGGATGAGGAGCAGCATCAGAATCAGGTGAAGTCAATGAGAAAGAATTGGAGCAGGAGGGAAGGAGAAGGAGAAGGAGGAGGAGGACCAGTGTGGCAATACACCCTCCCTCCAAGCTCCCCGTTCACAGGCTCCCATAATCATCAACCTACACTGCGGGACGAGCCCTGTTGAAAGACAACCGTTTGAACATCTTCAACCGTGCCAAGACGCTATTCCTTGGACTTTTACGCCGCGAATCAACGTTGCTTCTGTGACCTGGCGATCCCAAATCGTGCCAGAATATCGTTTTTGGGACGTCAACACAGCGAATCAACATGACTGTCGCGCCTTGACAATACGAAACCCTCCGAAATCCCTATTCTGGGACGTCAGCCAGAATAATCCTTGACATTGTTGTAAAGTGTCGAGGCGACTGTACGCGGCGCTGAGGCGAGAGCCACATTTTGAAATTCAACCGCCCTACATCCGAGAAGAACTAGCAAACTTTAATGTATGTGCACGGCTTGAAGACGAAAGCCACATTTTGAACAGGAACCGCCCTCCATCCGTGATGCTCTAGCACACGTTTTACAACGATGTGCGCGGCGCGAAGGCGAGAGACACATTTTGGAAACCACCCGCCTTCCAACTCTGGCAAGCTTGTAAGACGAGTGAGTGTGCGGGGTGACACAGCGAGAGCTTCATCTTGAGGACGTCCCTCTCTCCATGTGTGAAACTACTGCAAGTTTCAAGCTTCAGGATCATACGTGGTGAGGGGGTCTCAGGCGAAACGCCCAGTCCGCCCTACCGACTCGCTCCGCGGGACGACAGGCAGGAGTGGAGAAGGAGGACGGGGAGGACGAGGAGAGAGAGGGGGCAGGAGGAGCAGGTGGAGGAGGGAGGGGGAAGGAAACACAGCTGTAGGAGGGTGGAGGAGGGAAGGAGGAGGGGGATGCACAAGCAGGGATGCACGGAACATTGATGATAAAATGAAGTAGAGAGTGGGTGGTGGAAAAGGAGGAGGATGTGGAAGGGTGGGGGGAGAGTGCAGCTGATGAGTCGGCGGAGTGAACGTATCCAGGCTACGTGTGTCATCACCTTGTAGCCAGCGTTTCTCCAGAGATGGCTCCGCAGCAGATCAGTAGCCGATGTCCTTCACAGTGTGTTCGCTTTGCCTTGGTTCAGGATGTGGAGGAGGAGCAGCATCAGGATCAGGAGAAGTGAATTGGAAGGATGTGGAGAGAAGCGAGGCGGATGAGGAGGAGGAGTAGGATACCAGTGTGGAAAGACACCCTCCCTCCAAGTTCTCTTTCAATAGGCTCTCATCATAATTTATTTGCACTGCGGGAAGAGCCCCGTTGGATGGCAACCACTGGAAAGTCTTCAACCGTACCAAGACGCCATTCCTTTGGTTTCAACGCCGCGAATATATGTTGCTGTCGTGCCAGAAGAACGTGTTGAGGACGTCAGCGCAGCGAATCAACGTGACTATCGGGCCCTGCCAATTCTAAGTCGTGCCCACACACCGGTTCTGAGACGTCAGCCATACGAAAATTTTGAAACGGCTGTAAACTGTTGAGGTGGCTGTGCGCGGCGCCCGCGAGAGCCACATTTTGAAAATGAGCCGTTCTCCATCTGAGAAGCTTTAGCAAACTTAAGATGTGTGTGCGCGGCTTTAAGGCGAGAGCCACACTTTGAACAGGAGCCGCCCTCCATCCGTGATGCTCTAGCACACGTTTTGACATACTGTGCGCGGCGACAAGGCGGGAGGCACATTTTAAAGAAAACAACCCGCCTTCCAACTCTGGCATGCTTGTAAGACGAGTGAGTGTGCGTGGTGCCACAGCGAGAACCACACTTTGAGGGCAGCCCGCCCTCAATGTGTGAAACTACTGCAAGTTTCAATCTTCAGGATCATGGATGGTGGGGAAGTCTTAGACGAAACGCCCGGCCCGCCCTACCGACCCGTTCTGGGGTGCGACAGGCAGGAGTTGTTCATAAGGACGAGGGGTGGAGGAGGAGGGGGCAGGAGGAGCAGGTGGAGGAGAGGGGGGGAAGGAAGACCACCTGTAGGAGGGTGGAGGAGGGAAGGAGGATGGGGATGTACAGTCAGGGAGAAACGGAACACTGGTGAGAAAGTGAAGTAGAGAGTGAGTGGTAAAAGACAAGGAAGCGGATATGGAGGAGGGGGTGAGAGGACACTGCAGATGATGAGGCGGCGGAGTGAACGTATCCAGGCTACGTGTGTCATCACCTTGTAACCAGCGCCTCTCCAGAGATGGTTCCACATCAGATCAGCAGCCCATGTTCTTCAAGTTGTGTTCGCCTTGCCATGGGGGAATGCGAGTCCATTTATAAACACGCGCGCAGAATTCATGGACGGGCCCCGAGTTGCTAGAAGTGGACCGCCCCATGGGCATTGGAGGAGGAAGTCCAGGCAGCCTAAGGCCAGGTTCCAGCCGCCAGATAGTGAATCAGCGGGCACAGGGGTGGACGAGGGGACTTGGCTTTTTGGCTACCAGAGGGGCGTGGGCAGGGTCCCCGGACGCCGATCCCGTCTGCCAAGACGCTGCGCTGTCATCCGAGCCTTGTTGGGAGGGCCGTTGTGGAACAGAGCAGGGGCACTGAAGCTTCCCTGCGCTCAGACAGAAGATTGTACCGTCCACACTGGGTATCAGAGTGCAGAGAGTCCGTCTCCTCCTCCTCCTCCTCCTCCTCCTCCTCCTCCTTTTCATCGTCATCCCCCTGCTCGGCTCCCCCCCTCCCCTCCCCGCCACGCAGTTCTGTCGCTGGCCCACCGTTGGCCAGTCAAAGCCACCCACGGTGACAAACCGGTCCTCTCTGACGGAACCCCCTTGGGTTTTGGGCGACTCCCCCCACTCCCTCCCTCCCCTCAGTGGCGTGCCCGTCCTCCTCCTCCTCCCCTCCTCCTCCTCCTCCTCCTCCTCCTCCTCTCCCCTCTCCTCCTCACCCTCCCCCTCCTCCTCCTCCTCCTCCTCCTCCTCCTCCTCCTCCTCCTCCTCCTCCTCCTCCTCCTCCCCCTCCTCCTCCCACGACGCCCTCAAGGCAGGCTCGAAGTGGCTGCGCCACCGCCTCGAGCATCCCTCCCGCCGCCAGGGGGTGGCCGGGGCCTGCGGCCTCTGCGCCGCTCCCCGGCGGCGACGGGCGGCGCGCCGCCATGTCGGCCGCCGCGCTCGTCGCGCTCGGGGCGGCGCTCGGGGCCGCCCTGGCGTGCGCCGCGCTCGGGGGTCGTTGTCGTCGGTGCCGGCGCCGTCGGTGGCAGTGCTGTCGCCGTCTTCTTCGACGTCGGCGCCGACGCCGACGCCGCCGTCGTCCGCCGTTGTCGTCGCCCGCCGACGTGGTTGTCGGTGGTATCGCGCGTGTTCGTCGTTCGTCGTCGGCATCGTCGGCGTCGTTCCTCGTGCTTCGCGAGACTGCGTAGCTGCTCCCTTCCCACTGCTTACGATGGCGGATTACAACAAAAAAACGATCATGCATCATGCATGAGCAGGGCAGGCGTTCGAGCGCTGTTTATGCGCCCTCAAGTCCAGAGATCAGACCGTTGAGTGCCGAGTCGATCCTCCGAGACAATCGCGTCCCAGTGTCCCTCACGGGAAAACCTTCGAGTTTCGGTCCTTTCCTGATGCTCGAAAATCCTTTCGGTAGTCAAGGGTCAAGTAGGTCGGAGCATCGTAATCTGAGCGGCGGACCATTCACGAGGGCCTGGCGGGCCACGGGGGGTGCAGCTGCCTTGAATGGTGCGGTCCCTAAGTGGAAGACCTGCTACAGCACGGGGTATCGAGTAGCCTCCGGCCCATCTCACCACCGTGAATCGACCGTGATCAGATGCCTCTTTGGGGCCTTCCTGGGGTCCTCTTTAGGGCCTAGGGGCTTCTTGTGGTGGAGGGTTTCAAATTACAGTTCGAACTTCCCCTCTCTGACCCTCGTAAAAAAGGCACCGGAGATCCTCCTGGGCGGGTCTTCGTAGCCTTGCAGGCCGTCCTGGACGCTTCTAGGACGAACAAGCAGAATGACCGAACATGACCAACGAAGAGATTTCCTGATCCTTTTTGTGCGTTGTTTGTGAGGCCATTTGTCACCACCCACCAAACCACCCCAACCCAACCCGAAGGCTCAGATTTACCCTCGATTTCCAGTGGGGGGGGTCGGGAAACATCGAAA